AAAGGAGGGGCTGGCGTTATAGCTGATGCTGCAGCTCAAGTCCTCCTGAGCCTTTTGGCTGCGAGGAATAGAAATCTAAGTGCATCTCGTCGCTAAAGCAAAATGACATGCAGTATACTGCATGTTTCTGAGATCACTTGTTTGTTCACTGTATTTGCCCGAGGCTTATTCATACAGGACACAGATCACTGACCTCAGCCTTGTGGCATCTGTCGTTTTGGCTTTTACACAACTTCCTCACAGAAAACTGAACTTGATTCTGATGGTGGAGTGCACAGTCATTTAAGACAGGAGTCTGTCAGCCAGCTGCATTTTCTGCCAGCCACATGGATTCACTCACACACACAGTCTGACAGAATGATGAAGATCCATGCAAAGTAACCTCGGAAGGAGGCCTCTCCCTCCCCCTCCTCCTCCTCCTCCTCCTCCTCCTCCAGCAGCAACTTGCCACCGCACTGTCACGCTCCACAACCGGCTTCATCTTTGTATCCGACAAGATCACTGTAATTACAGAAGAGTCAGTGTTTCGAGTGACAGTGTGTCTGGATTAGACAGAGACAGTTTGGGAGGAAATCTCAGATCCATAGGAAGTGCTGCTGCTCTCTCTCACACACACACACACACACCCACACAGTCCAGATTCAGACTACTGAGAAGTAATGACTCAGGGAAAGAAATGCTACACACACATGCTGCTCCCCTCCCCTCGGTGCTGGGCCACCACACGTCCTGATAATAAATACATCGTTGCACTGGAACATGGCAGTCACAGGGAGTGTGGTATTTCTAGCAGTGTATTGATACACACATTTTTACAGATGCCATGATGGAGATAATCCCTCATTAATTATATTTGTGTGTGTACTTTAGGACCTTTTCCGGACTCGTAGATCTCATGTGATTTGTGGTTAGGTTAGGCATCAGGCATTAATGGTTAAGGTTAGGGATACAGTTTGGTTAGGCTGCCCACAATGAATGCAAGTCAATGCAAAGTGCTTACAAAAGTGTGTGTGCTTGTATTTGCTGCCTCTTCAGGATCTTTTCCAGCATAAACACTGACCTTGTGAAGACCAGCAGACCTCATGGGGACCAAAGCCTGGTCTGTCATGTGTGAGGTCCTGGATAATGACCCAACCCCCCACACTCCTGTGCTCTTATACTTTTTTATCACATTCTTTCTTTTCTGTTTTTATGCACATTGTAACATGTTTTCATGTTTCTTAAAATCTGCTCTCTTCTTATTTGAATTACATTTTAACATGTTTTTATTTTTATCTATATTATATGTAAAGCAATTTGAGCTGCATTTCTTTTATGAAAGGTGCTCTACAGATAAAGTCTGTTATTATAATATTGGGGTTAGGCATTTAGTTGTGATAGTTAAGCTTATAGGGTAATGGAATACATTATACCAATGAGGGTCCTCACAAACATAGAAGGTTGTTTGTGTGTGTTTGTGAGTCCAGCTTTCACTGCTGACAGTGACTGATAGAAGTAGTCAGTGTTTGTGTTTTGTTTATTAATAAATGTCATTACTCAAATTCTGTTTCAGCAAAACTGAAGGTAGTTTGTTTGATTTTCTCTCTGTGTTTAAAAGCCGTGGATATAATCAATTACACACATCTCATTGTGATGTTATTATCTCATTTAGGGGAAATGGCAGAACGGAGCACGTGTGCGCAATATTATCACAGTACTGGGTTTGTGTCCCCTCTCAACTGCAGCACAGCTGTCTTAACAGCACCCCCGGCCTCCTCCTGTCCCCCTGCAGGGGAGGTTTGTGTGAATGGCAGAGGGGGGGGCAAGGGTGGAGCCAGCATTGTGTTTCTATGAAGCTGGTTATCCCATCAGGCTTTGCTTCACTGGCACTGTACCAGCTCTTGCTCTCAAATCGACTGAAGAAGACGGCCACCAGTTATTAGCATGGCCGTGTCTCATTACTGGAGATAGAGAGATGAGAAACAACACTAATCACATGCTCTAGTTTTGGAATGCACCTCTGGCCTGTTGTCTCTTAAAGTTCAGTTTGTCATGTGACAGAGAGAAGGGCCATCTCTCTCTGTGCAGGATCAGAGGAGTCACACATTCATGCAGCCCGCGTTCTATATTTAATCAGCCCAGTTTGATGTCTATTCTTGAGCCACTCCCTAATAGTTAGTGAGCAAATGAGTCGCTCCTTTCTGGAACAGTGTCTCTCGGCTCCAGGCAGCGTGATGATGGCGACACAAAGGATCCTCTGTGTCACTTGGCCATGATGCATCAGAGTCGAGCACACACCATGCAGGGCAGGCTGCTGGAGTCAGGCCCTCCTCCGTCCCATCTGGTTTAAGGGGGGGGGGGGTGCACTGCTGCCTCATGTTATCTGGTTTTAAAGGAACCTGCAGGGGGGATGCAAAGGGGGGCCATGCAGATGTTTATGTGTGTAATGTGCAGACTGGATTAGTGAATTGCACATGATCATAAAAAACGAATCACACACAATTTCATTATCCTGCAATGAACCGGCAGTGTTGCAGTAGAGCACCCTACATGTTCATTCAGTTATTCCACTGTCTCACTCCTTCCACACAGGTAAGAGTTATATCCTCTAACAGCACCATCTGTTGGCAGAAACACCCCCATTACCTTTCTCATATTTTCTATTTATAAGGGAAATACATATTTTCATCAAATTAGAAAGGATTAGATGTATGATGAAGGGCTTATAAAGGAAATTTAATAAGATGTCAAACCCCTTCCTCAAATAAATAGGTGAGCTGGACAAAAATATCTATGAACCATTAATCTAATACTTAATAATCATTACATTTTGACATCGCATACAACCGAACAAACCAACTACCAAATATTGTTGTTCTCTGTATTTGTTATTGTTCTATAAAAACAGATTCTGGGGGAAAAAAGGAAAATTGTTTACAGAACATTTACCATATGTTAAGTAATGAATGTGTATGTTCAGAATCAACTGTGAAGTGTATGATAACATTACAGAGAAGCTGCTGCTTCACTACAGGCTGTCCTCATTTATTCCCTGCATTCCCCTGTAGTGGTAGCCTAATTATCCAACCTCAAGACTATAGCTACACAAGTTTAATTATCTTTGACGTTTAAGGCGGAGAAAACACCAGAGAGGCAGAGAAATAGATTCTAAAGGATCTGACTGGGAGCGCTTTGGGATGACAGAGGGATAAAATGTTAACATAGAATATTATAGAGCTCGTCTTTAACCCTCTAATCTTCACAATAACCCCTCTGGGTCCTGTCCCCACCTACTGGGGGACACAGACTTGATACCGGCTGTGAGACAAATTAATTAGCTTGTCTTATCCTGGTCAAAGCCAGAGGAGACCTTAAGAGAAGGCTGATACCAGTGTGGCCATCCAGCTGCTCCACGCAGGAGTTGGAGGGCAGAGGAGGGAGTGATTATATGAAATGATCCTCTGCAGGTGTTTGTAAAGTCTGTTTTTAAAAAGGCTCTTAGGCATTATCACAGACGGAAGCCTGCAGGGATGCATGCATCAGAACTGTATTTCACCCCAACCACACCTCAGTGTTTCTTCATTAACATTTCACAATCACTGTTGGGATATTGGTAAGTAATGAATCTATTGGTTGGGCCAGGAAGTGTTGTATTTGTGCATGAATGTGCTTTTTCGGAATAGCATTGGATGACGGCTCTGATGTTTTATGTGAAGGATGGAATGTTGAATAACTCATATGCATAATAAACTAGAATGGCCTTCAGGAGAGCTCATACCACTGCCCAGACCTAACAGTCCCCTCAGATCCATAAATTGAAAAACACAAAGTCAAAGAATGTGATAAAAATTCTTGGATCTGTGTGATCCAAGAATGTTCTTCCTTGACCCATACATGGAAATCTGTTCGGTGGTTTTTAGATCATTCTGCTGACAAACAAAATAAATGACAAACACACTGACAGGGATGAAAACATAACCTCTTTGGCGGAGGTAAGAATCTTCTGCTCGTGATTAGACGCATTGAAAAAATATTTTTCATGGGTCTGAGGCAGCATTTTGTCACAAATGTCCCTGACAAGATCATTTTGTGCAAGTTATCTTTCTACTCCTGGATCCTTACAGAGAAATACAAGATCATTATTATGTTTAATAGATAATTAAACTTGTTTCCCATCATTCTACTATAAAGTGATCAGAGTATTCAATGGGAGCTTCAGTGTTAACCCCACCCCAGCCGACAACAGCATCAACATTTTTATTTGGTTGGAGCGTTGTAGGCCACCCTGCTCATTACACTGCAGCTCTACTGTGTATACAGAGAGCAGCATGAAAGGCTGTGAGGGGCCCCTGCATGCCTGTGGGAGTGTGGGGCGTACTTCATGGTTTATGCCTGAAAAAGAGCCATAATCTTCCAGCTAATCTGGAGCTTGGGTTGGAATTCCCCCTGACATGGAGGGCCGTGGCTGACAGAAACAATTCTGGGTTCAATTGTTTTCATAAGTGAGTAATCGACGGAGACATATGGATTGAGAATTTCAATCATGATTTATTGGCCCATCTCTTTCAAAGGGTTAATTGTTGTAATAATATTGTCTACAAAACTTAAGTTAATATTCAGTTGTAAACTATCAGTGTGGTCTGAATATTAGTTATCTAATTGCAGTTTTATTGCACAGGCTTAACCTTTTTTTTTGTTTCGTTTTTTAAGCAACTGTCTCCCCCTAGTGCTGCAAATGGGTAATGTCGGAATTTACAAACCTCATTCACAAATCTGACTGCAACTTATCAGTCAGTACTAACTCCTTTCTGTGGGAGGGTCTCAGGAACATGTGGAAATATGTTCCACTTTTAATAAACATGATGTGCATATTATTATCACCCACTAAAGAGTGCATATGAAATTGTGCACAACAGAAAAATGGAAGTGCTCAAGCTCAGTCATGATTGTTTGAGTCCAGTGCAGTTAATTGAGGTGTTGACTCTGAATCAAGGAGTAGAGACCCGTCCATCCTTCTCCAGCTTAAACAACTCATTTTTATTAAAGACAATCAGCCTGTCTGACACGTCTGTTTGCACATGGGCCACATGGCTGCCATCTACTGTGCCTTCACAGTCTTGCAACTACACTTTTACTCCAATCACAAACCAGGACAGCATTTACTGATATATTAAAAATATTTAATGATTAAAAAAATAATGTAGAAATGAAGACACACAGAAAAGTCCACCCACACACAAACGTCACCAGACAATATTCAGACTTTTTTCCGGATGTGCAGGATGTGGATGTCTGGACTGCTGAACTCTGGGTCTTGTTTGTCTGAAGGGATCTCCTCAAAGCTGAAGTGTTGTTTCAGCGACTAGAAGGTGACGCAAAAGAAAACAGGGACTCACTATGTGACAACTTCATCAAAGGGACAAATTGAAAATACACAGTTTGCAGCTCACCTCAAAAAACTGCCTTTCCACTTTTGGGTTGACGCCCTCGGTGCGCTGCTCATAGCAGCAAATGATGCAGGTCTCTGGTCCGGAGAGAAGCCTCAAGGTCTCCACCAGTGGAACAATCGACTATGGAGAAACAAGTGATGAGTCACACAGAGGAAAAACCAAACAGCATAACACTTACAGTTTGTTCTTTCTTTCGAATGGTGATAATGATGGTGAAATTTTGCAGAGTCAGAAAATAGAATAATAATAGAATACCTGCTCGTAATAGATGCAATCTGCCATGAGGACATAATGTGGAGGAGGCAAAAAGTCAGACACATCTTCACCCCTATAAGGAGGAGGGAAATCATACATTTGCCATTTTATGTCTCACAATAAGTTGAACGTGCAGCTTGGATGTACCCGTATGAATGCACAGGTAACAGAATATAAAATAGGAAACTTAAGTACAAACCATTTCAGTACCTTGGCGGTTATGGATCCGCTGCTGATGAGCGCCTGGTTTTCCTGGATGTTCATTCTCAGGAGGTTCTGCAAGTCCTCCAGGTCTGTCACAGTCACCTGAGCTCTGTGGGAATCATGATCTGTCTGTTATCGATTGTGATCGGTTAAAAGAATATCTGCAAATCAATACAAGCAGATGAATATGTAGCTTTACACACTGACCGGTCCTCCTCTCACCCCAGTGTTGCTGCCATCAGACCCACCACTCCGGTCCCAGCTCCCAGCTCCAGCAGCCTCCTGCCGGCCCACACGTCCACTCCTCTGGACGGATCGTGAAACTGTTTCGTCTCTAAATATTTGGCGAGAACAATGGCTGCGTCCCAAACCACACAGCCGACATCCCCCAGGTAGCACTGCTTCACTTTCAGGGCACAGCCGTCGTTCTTCTCGATTTCTCGCACGAAATACTCATTTTCATTCGCGTCCGCCGCCATGTTGGTCTAAACAGGAACTTAGGAGAGTGGAGTTCCGGTGTGGTTTCTTTTTCAGAATAAAAGCATGGCCTCAAAACACCTGGGTAGACGTGACATGGACCCAAAAGATAAGATCATATTTAATATATATTAATCATCTTTCTTCAGAATACGATCTACTTTAAAAGAAATATCAACTGTTTAGTACAGTGCAAATCACAACAAAATTCTACTTATAAAGGAAGCACAACAGAAGATTCTGGAAATGTGACACAATTCGCATAATCACAACAAGAAAACTAAATGGAAAAGAACGACACATCACAAAACACGACAACAAATAAGGAAACACAAAAAAAGATCACAAACACGACAGCAAATCATAAATTCAACACTATCAACACAGAGGGTTAGACACAATAACAAATAAAGAAACACAATAACTTGGTGCATGCTATTGACAAACCTGTGGCAGATGGGATGAAGGTACAGTCCTAGTGTTTTGTTGTGTGTTTTATCTATATTGGATGTTAGTGCTTTTTTTGGTTTATATTAATATGTATTATCAAGAGTCAGCAGTTGTCATGTGACCCAGTGACCCCAAATCAATGCTAAATAGTTTGACTACTTTTGAGAAAAAGACCACATGTTTTTGTGTTTGATTTGAGAGCTTCTTCTGTTTTATATTAATATTTGAATGGAAAAATAATCATTTATTTTCTGAAGTAGCTTCCATGTCATGTGACCCAGTGAGTCTAACTTTGCTAACGAGCTAATGATGATAAACGTGCGCAGCGACACCTGCTGGCGGCGGGAAGGTTAGACTAGTTAGACTAGTTGATGCTAAGCTAACAGAAGAACTTCTTCTTCTTTGTTGGTCTTGGTATTTAGTGACTTTAACAGATAAACCAATGAGCGGGACGAGTTTCCTCCATTGACCCGTTTGTAAAATGATTCGCAGCAGCACAGAGGAGGTGACAACCGGCGGCGACGCCTCAGACAGCGGACCAACCTGCGCGGCGTTCGCGGCGGACAGAGGCGGACTGAACGAAACCACCTCACACGGTCCCCGCTCCACCTCCTCCGGTTCACCCGGTTCATCCCGTCAGAGCTTAGATAGAGGAAGTTCGAGTCCCAACCACAGACCCACACTACCTCCGACCGGCCCAGGTAAAGTGATGGAGGAGTTAGCAGGTAGCTAACATTAGCATGAAACTGTGTCCTGCAGGGATGGAGCCAAATGCAATGAGGCCAAAAATTACATTAAGATCAGAACATTTCTTATCAGTCGATGTTTCTAATTATTCATGTCAAATAATTATATCTGTTAAGTTTTTAAAAAAACTAATGTTTGCTCCTGAATAAAGGTTGTGGTTTTAAACCCTCCATTATTTTCAGAGAATGAGAAACACATTTAATATACAGCAGAACAGTTCACCAACCAGATGTAGACCAATATGTGTTCTACCTCCTCACTGTGTTTACACGATGTATAAACAATATATCCATATATGCTTTTTATTGCTATTGGTGAAATGTATAGATTATTTTGCTGCCCAGCCCTAGTTTATGCTGTAATTGTGTATGAGTTCTCTAATAAACAATAAAACTTAAGGTATCTATCCATTCAACCACTTGTCCTTTCAGGGTCACATGGGGGCTGGAGCTAATCCCAGCTGACCTTGGGTGAGAGTTGGGGGTTCACCCTGGACATGTTGTCAGAGCATCCCAGGGCTGACATATAGAGACAAACAGTCATTTCATTTCAGATATCAAATTATCAGAGTCTTTTCTTTCAATGGATCATAGAACGATAGCAGGGACACATTTGTTCGACTGTTGGACTTGTCTCTGGTCAGGGCACTGCAGTTATAATTAATGACAAATGCCCTCTCCTTGTATTTCCTGTCAACACAGGTCAGTTTCATCATGGCTTCACATCAGGGGGGATAAATCCATCAGTCTTTGCAACCACTTCGGACAGCTCCTCCTTCCGCAGCCATGTAGGAACCCCCAGACTGAGAAGGACCCCTGGGGCTGCAGGCACACATCCTGCACAGACACCACTTACTGATCACACTGGTACTTGATTTTTAATATGTGTGAAGTAAGGTGAATAATTAGCTGAGGCAGAGTTTCTCATTCAGTTTTCTCTCCTTTTTTACACAGCAACAAGTTGCTCCTCTGCGACTGCAGCCTCTGCTGCCTCTGTGATTGTAGCAGTTGTTGAAGGGCGTGGTTTGGCCAGGGGGGAGATCGGCATGGCCAGTCTCAACTTGAAATGTCCAGAGCTCATACTTTGTCAGTTTGCAGACACTGGGACGTATGCCAAGGTAACCCATTCATTATATTATATAATAAACCACTACACTACATAATCCCACAGCGCTCAGAACGGACTCTGACGCACAGGAAATTCACATCGCAGTCATGTATTTCTGTTTTTCAAAGGTCATAACCAAGATTCACATCTTGGTGCCTCTGGAGATACTGATGCCAGACACGGCGAGTGAGAAGGGGAAAGGGACCAAGCTGTTCAAACTCATCACTGAGAACTTCCCGGTACCAAACCAGAATAGCTGTTATCAGTAAAACACCATTCTTTCACACAAATACCCATTATACCCATTTATTCTTACATCAAATGACTGTTACCTGGTTAACGTGTATCCCATCTGTTGACATAGTGTGTCTTTGGTGTGAAGTAATATGTCTCATTCATTTTCTGTCAGTGTGTAGCTTTCACTGCGATCCAGAGGAAGTATTTTAATGAGAGAAAAGGACTGGAGTACATTCAGCAGCTGTGCGCTCCAGAATTTGGCACCGTTCTCATGGAAGTCCAGGCTAAGTACGCCGCTGTTTACAGTAATGCATATAAATAGTTATACTGTGGCATTATACTTTTTTTTATCGTTTTGATTTTTTCCCAGATATTATTGTCTGGCAGCTGCAGCTGCTTTGCTGAAATACTTAGAGTTCATCCAGAACTCTGTCTATGCTGCCAAGTCTCTTAAAGTGAGCTTTAAAGGGAGTGAGCAGACAACCATGATAGACTCAGCATCTGCCACTAACTTAGAGTTGGTGGTCAATAACAGAGACCACAGGTAAGATGAAAAGCAATGGCAGGACCGTGAGAGAATTGTACTTATAAGTAGTGTCTGTGTAATGATTGATAAATTCAGTCCACCTCTGTCGCTGCTTCTCTGTGTACAGGAGTGAACATTCTCTTTTAGGAGTACTTAACCACACAAAAACCCCTGGTGGTGCTCGAAGATTACGCTCCAACATTCTGGAGCCTCTGGTCGATGTGGACACCATTAACATACGACTGGACGCTGTACACGAGCTGCTACAGGACGAGGATCTCTTCTTTGGCCTGAAAAATGGTCGAGAAGAAGCACAAACACTTTTCAGTCACACATTAAATATTGTTACGTGAATGCATGACCAGGAATTTGAATATCTGTTCTTTTACACCCTCCAGCCATTGGTCATTTCCTTGATATTGACCAGCTGCTCTCGGTTCTCGTCCAAATCCCAAAGCAGGAAACGGTAGGTGCAGCATTTGAATTAGTCATGACTGCAGAGGGTGGTTTCATTGCAGTGGAATGTCCTGACGTGAATGAGTGAATTCATTTGCATGTACTTTAAAATGCTGAACTAACAAAAAGGAACAAATTGCGCACACTTGGAATATTGTTCTGTCTTTTTCTTTTTGCACACTTCACAGTATCAAATCTGGGTTTCTGCAGGTTCAAGTTGCTGAAGCAAAGATCACACATGTCATTCAGCTGAAACACACATTGGATCTGGTGCCAAGGTTAAGGGTCTGTATCTGTTGGTGTACATGACATCAGTTCAAAATCATACCTACTGTCATTTATGAAATAAGAAAAGAAGCTGTTTACAATACAAGAATGCTAACTCCTCTCAGATGGTGTTGAAGAACTGCACCACAGCTCTACTTAAAGCATACAGCACCTCACTGGAAGACACCAGGTACTGAACCTTCTGCCTGTGAAGTAAAGTAACTAATTTGGAACTGTCCTCACAGTGAAAGTCTTCACTGTGTATTTCTGTTTGTGTCCACCTCAGGTTTGACTTGATCCTAGAACAGATCAAGACAGTGATTAATGACGACACAACCTACCTGAAGGGGAGTCTCAACATGCGCACTCAGAAGTGTTACGCCGTGCGCCCCAATGTCAATGAGTTCCTCGACATTGCCCGCAGAGCTTACACTGAGATAGTGGACGACATTGCCGGTAATAGTTTTGGTGCTCAAGCAGATATGTTTGTCTTTTCAGTGATGGTAAAAATATTAAATATCATCGTGTTCCACAGGGCTTGTTAACCAAATGGGGGAGAAATACGGCTTTCCAATGCGAACCAGCTTCAGCACAGCTCGAGGATTTTTCATCCAGATGAAGCTTGAAGGTGTGGTCCTACCTGGAGGGAATCTGCCTCCAGAGTTTATCAAGGTAAGGTCCAGTAGAAACACACGAAGACCACCAACTAACACAATAACAAAGAAAACTGATCAGCGGCTTTGAATGAATGAAGCTAAATTTCCCAGAAAGTGATCATAGTCTTTGAATCATAGAGTGAAGAGTGTTTCTACACTTGTCGCCTCAGGTAACCAAACAGAAGAACAACTACTGCTTCACAACTGCAGACCTGATGAAGATGAACGACCGCTGCGATGAGGCCCTGAGGGAGATCTTTCACATCTCTTATGTGTGAGGAGATCATGATCCTGTGACTCACAAACATGCACAGTGATGTACCTTACACATTACACTGTGTGTGCAATAACACAATTTCTTAGCTGCGTAATCGCAGTATTACTTTGAATAATTGATTAGTTGGGTTAGTCTGTTAAATTATTTGTGCGGTATTATTTTCTCGCCATAGATGGATGTGATTATGCAAAGGTATTCAAATGTGGAGCCTAATAATATTCAAAGTATATTTGAGTGTTTTTCTGTTGCCAGAGATGTGACGACCATTTCACAGAAATGACAGATTATAAATATAATCCACCAAAATAATTTCTTGGTTGACAAAGACCAAAAATTAGTCAGCTCATTCATTAAATATTGGTAAAATCTCTTTCTATTAAGTTTTCATCTTGAGAAGCCGGTCTTGATCAGTTCTTAAACTTCTTTTTGTCCACCAGAGGGTGCTCTATGTTTGCCATAATCTCTGTGTTGTTTTTTTTTCTCCTGCCCTCACCTCCCTGCATACAGGGTGATATGTCAACTGCTGAGCACCATCCACGAGCACATCCACTGCCTTTACAAGCTCTCTGATGCTGTCTCCATGCTGGACATGCTGCTGTCACTGGCTAACGCATGCACCATCTCAGACTATGGTAAAAACCAAGATTTGCTTCTGGCCATCACCAAGTCAGTCAAACCGTGAAATTAACATTAAGGTGTGATCTGTTGACTGGGGGAGTACTGTGTGCACAACAAGCCGTACCCAGCCAACATCACACATGACAGCCAGAAAGGTCTCTGCAGAGCTGGCCGCTCCTCTGGCTCCTTTTTTTGTGTGCTGGTTGTGGACAGCACCAGCCCGATCAGCCACGTGGGTGGGGCGCTGGCCCTCAGCTGTCTGAAAGCATCTCTCCATAGACACGTGCTGACTGCCTGCCCCCTTCCATCGCTGCCAGCTTGTACTCAGATCACCCTTGTTACATAATTGTGCAATAGTGCGCTGACAACTCTTCCTAGCAGATGAGGGAGCAGGATTTAAACACTGCACACTCATCTCTCTGTTGTTATTATACTGTGATACACCTCTTAGTTAAGAATTGAATTATATATTTGAAAGCAGATACTGTAATTTGATATGTATTGTAACCAGCAAAGTAATTAGTGTCACAGTATATATCTATATAGGTTAGCTTTTTTTATCACAAAAAAAAACCAACTAATAAATCAAGGTATATTTTGATTGATTTTCGTGTTTTGTTTTTTTCTGTTGTGTCTGCCAGTGCGTCCAGAGTTCACAGACACTCTGGCCATAAAGCAGGGTCGTCACCCCATACTGGAGCGAATGGCTGGACAGCAGCCTGTATCGAACAATAGCTACATCTCCGAGGGCAGCAACTTTGTCATCATCACTGGACCTAACATGAGCGGCAAGTCCACCTACCTCAAACAAGTGGCGCTGTGTCAGATCATGGCTCAGATAGGTCAGCAGCAAACCTTTCAGCGTCACAAAGAAAACAAATGTTTACTTAGCTTTTTGAGTAAATCTCCTTGCATCATTATTCCAGGCTCTTTTGTGCCGGCTGACTACGCCTCTTTTCGTGTTGCTGATCAGATTTTTACCAGAATTGGTGTCGACGATGATTTTGAAACTAACTCTTCCACCTTCATGTTGGAAATGAAGGAAGTATGTGTCTTTCTTTCATTACATCTCTCTCTCTCTCTCTCTCTCTCTCTCTCTATATATATATATATATATATATATATATATATATATATATATATATATATATAAGAAATCTTGAATTATCATTGAATGTACTATTCCTCCCCAAAGATCTCTTACATCATCCACAATGTAAGTGACAGGTCCCTGATCATCATAGATGAGTTGGGACGTGGTACCAGTGCAGAGGAGGGCATTGGGATCTGTCACTCAGTGTGTGAGTTCCTCCTCAGTCTCAAGGTAAAGTTTCTGCCATTGTTGTCATGTAGCCACTCCTCTCTCCAGGACAAAAAAAAGACAAATTAGACGCCTGCTGTTTAAATCAATCATTGAACGTGTTATTATCTGATGTGGAACACCTCTTAGGTCAACAGTAAAGCAGAAATACAGGACTAGTGCACGTTGCCCTGTGTTTTATTCTTCAAGGCGTGTGCTGTTTGCAGGCGTTCACCCTTTTTGCCACACACTTTCTTGAGCTGTGTCAACTGGAGTCTCTTTACCCAAACGTGGAGAACCAGCACATGGAGGTTCAGCACACGCGCAGTGTTGACAGTAGCGATGAGAGTGTCGTGTACACGTACCTGCTGAGTCGGGGATGCTCCGAGGAAAGACACTATGGTACAGAGTTGTTGAAATCAAAGTGCAAATCTGTTGAAATTGGTAATTAAAAAGTAAAAGAGCTTGTCTTTGCCTTTCTAGGTCTGAGAGCAGCAGAAATGACTGCCCTCCCTTCAGATTTAATCCAAGAGGCAAAGATAATTGCCTCGAATGTCAGCCAGCAGCTCTTGGTATGTTTCCATACATCACACTTTACCTCTTTTACCACTTTAATTTAAGAGAAACTAGTCTTTGACAGATAGACCTCTCGTTTTATTTGTTCCATAAATAATCCTGGTTAATATCAGAGAAGTGCTGGACCCTAGGCGTGTGTCATAAATCTTTCAGGCCAAACATCATAGTGATCCAGAAACACAGAGGCAGAGAGCTGTGTACCACCTGGCCACCCGCCTCCTGCAGGCTGCCAGGAACTCCAGACTGGACCCAGACAGCCTGCGCATGTATCTGAAAGGCCTGAGGAAGCAGTATGAGGCAGAGCTGCAGGCCGCAGGGCAGCCAGAGTCCATGGACACGGAGGAGGAGTGACTGACTCAGCTTTACAGGGGGGAGGGACAGTGACACAGCATCTGATGATCATCACTGGGCATTGATTTATATTGGCTGGATTTGACATTAAAATAGATTTATTCGAAAGCCAGTTGTCATGTTTTGTTGTCATTATTACAATTCTAACAAATGTAGTAATATCATTTCGAAAAGTATCTATTTTTATTTGCATAAATTTGCTATTTTGTGTATATCTGTCTTTTTGTATAGTATATTATTTCAACAACTGCAGCATTGCATGCAGTTAGCATTGAGCAGTTCGCATCACAACAAAGACAAACAGACGGACCGAATATATACTGTTCACTCTGTCATTTACATTTAACAAAATAAAAGCCCTCATATATTCACAGCAGGGAAGCCAGGAATGAGGCTGGATTTTCCAACCCCAATAACTGGAGCTTTGCCAGGTACCAACAGACAAAGTTGGATTTTTAAAATAAACCCCCCCAGACGGTTACATGACAAAAAAGTAAAAACTGACGCAAATAATTAAATAAGCGGTTTAAATCAATTCACATCCACACTGAGTTATGTTGTACTACTGGCAACATGAGAATTAACAACACATCAAGCATCAGACACATATAAAAATTCTCTGAGCAATATTATGGCTTTTATTTTTACATACCAAGGTTGATTTTTTTTTCCCAAAGTGAGAGTCAGATTGTTAATTGATGAGAATGACAAACAGAATAAATTGTACACTGTCACTGGTGTTTATGGAAAGAGGGGGACCAGAGAATATCTGCTTCTTAAAAAAAAAGAGAAGTTAATGTTCAGGTTTCCTGTAGTGACACAAGGAAATGTAAAGAAACAATAATTGCAGGGATCAACATGTTTCTTCATCCATGGAGAAATTTACATTACCAGTTATTGTCCTGGGTCTATTTGTGTTTTTCATTTGGCAAAATGAGTTAGTCAAGCAATTGTTTTTTAAATCAATTAATCAATTTCATATATTTTTTCAAGTCGTTCCTTAATGTAACAATTAATTTTCAGATTATTATTTTTGATAATATTCTCATTATTTGATGAATCCTTCGTTATCCAAGCAATCAATAACTATAACTTCTACAGTTAATATTTCAACAGGTTTTAAGTTAGACCCTTAACACAGACTGAGTTTATGTGGAGTCCTGTGTTTTGTGTTTCTGGTTTTACATACAGCCCATGGTGACACGTCATGAGCTACTTTTTCTTCTTTGTTTGTTTTATTGGGAGGTGGCAACCAACGTCAAGGTGAATTAACGCCCCCTACTCTTTAAATCATGATGGTTGGCAAATGTTTATATAAAAACATTATAGACAATAACCAACACAAATGTGACTTTGATCTAATTCAACATTAAAGGAGTGGGATGGTTAGGAGTTCGAGAAATAGCTTGTTGAAGTTTCTTTGAACCTTTCTGCTACATACATGGGAACTGGCCGTGTCAGAGCATACGTGGCTTTGAGTCCAAATCCCTTCTTTCCTATTCTCCTGACAGGTGTGAGAAATTTAACAGGAGAATTGTTCTGTCACCATGTATCGAAACAAGATAGATATCCACATGGGAGACCTGATGTCCTCCTCCACTACACATTACGAGGTGCAGAAATTCCTGGGCTGTGGTACCTATGGAGTGGTCATCAAATGCAGGGATGTGACCAACAATGAAATGGTGGCTTTAAAAATACCGAGAAGGATAGAAAAAAGTCAGTTTATGAGGAAAGAGGAGGCCACCCTTAAAACCATGAAGGAGCTAAACTCAGACTGGTTCAACATCGTCAGATTGAATGACTCATTCACCTACAAGGGACATTACTGTCTTGTGTTTGAGTACCTGGAAATAGATCTGCAGGAATTCATGCACTCCAGCCCAGGTCAGCACCTTCAGCTGAAGCAGATTCGCCCTATTCTGCAGCAGGTTTGTTTTTTCAACAGTTCTTATACTGACTGATTTGGTGAAGGGTGAACTAAATTGCGTCTGTTACAGTTTTTTATTGAAATAATGATAATAATAAAGTTAGGTTAAATAATGTCCTTAAAGACTAGAGGTGGTGACTTGTGGTGGATACATGGACTCCTTCAGTTCTTCCAATCATCGTATGCACAATCACTAGTGCTAGATCTATCACCAACAATTCTATTAATCTGTTCCTATAGTTGAGTGTACGACTTTGGAATATCTGACTAATACTCAGTTGTTTCTGTTTTTGCTGCCATCAATGAATACATGTTTTCATAGTTTTTGCTGATGAAAGGAACTCTGTAGTTCATGATTGTTATCATGTTATTCATGATTTCAGCTGGCTACATCCTTGGACTTTCTGAAAAGGGCAGGGATCATCCATTCAGATTTGAAGCCAGAAAACATTATGTTGGTGGATCCTGTCAGGCAGCCACTGAAAGTTAAAATCATTGACTTTGGCTTAGCCTGCAACAATCCTGAGGAATATATAGGACAGATCTTCCAGACCTTGCGTTACAGGTAAGTAACCAACAGCACATCTGTATACATGGGACAGCTGTGTTTGCTGTAATAAATGAATCAAGACCTGTAGTAATATATTTCTGTTTCTTCTTCTAAGATCTCCTGAGATTCTGCAGAGAGCTCCTTTCAACGAGGCCATCGACATATGGTCTCTAGGCTGCATTGTTGCTGAGCTGTCTATGGGCAGACCGCTGTTCCCTGCCTGGAATGAGACTGATTTGGTCAGTATCACACGTACTGCACTGAAAACACAACAAACAGGCCCATTTTCTCTGTGATATCATTTGTATTTATAAATTGTTACACACTTGACTAGAATAGAGAGAGTTTCCATTCGAAGTTCACTCATTTCTACTATTTTATTAATGAGACAAACTACAGACACTTCATCCATATGTCTCAGTAATATAAGTGCACCTGATGTACCTGATCAACACTGATGAGTTTGTTAACTTGAAGTTAACTCACTCTCACAACATTGTGTTTTCTCTACAGATGAGGCACATTATGCATACAAAGCCAGAGCATGAAAGAGACGTCACTCCATACTGGTTCTGGCCAAAATACTGGATGGAAAGCAGATTTATGGTAAGAAATTAGTTTACCACCACTTTGCTGTGCTTGTAGCTCACTAATTATAGTGACTTTCCTACAGTCTGTGTTTCTTTCCCCTTTTGTCATCCAATATCTCAATTAAACAATTCTTCATTTCAGGGAATAGTTTCAATTCTCATTTGTGATCAACAGCCTGGATGAATTTATAACAGCACAACATGACTTTTGAAAAAAATAGAAATTGATTTCATAATCCAAACACAAGGACATGTAACAAACAATGTTTTTTTTCTCTTCTTGTTAAAGGCGACTCATAATCCATTCTGGGGAGAAGACGTCCACGCTGAATTCTGGGACCTGGAGTGCTTTATCGATCTACTGACACAGATGCTGAAGATAAATCAGTTTGACAGAATTACCCCAGGACAAATTCTCCAGCATCCTTTCATCACGATGAGCCACCTTAGGGGTCACTTCAAAAACAGCTTCTAGTAAGTGTGTGCTTAGATGGTCTGTATAAATCTGTACTTATAGATATAGGAACAAAATGTATGAGATATATGGAGATTAAGGTGTTTGGCTCAGCAGTTTCATTTGTCTTCCAGTTTGAAATCGTGTAAGGATCTAATGGACTTCAGGATCAGAGCTCTGACGACGATATGAAGACCAGAGGATCCTGTAAATGTCCCTGAACGGGAGGCACAAGTGGGCAAGTGGGTCCACTAAAGTCCCAGAGGAAAAGAAAGAGGGGAGGCAGGAAATAGACTGAACTTGCTTTTTAGAAAACAGCAGTTTAAACAAGTCTTCTGACAAGCTAAAGACTGGAATGAGGACACCAAGTCAATAGCTCAATGTGTATTAAAACGTGGTGTAAATCATTTCTCTGAGTCATGATTAAACTTAGGACCTGTTGTAAGGGAGCACAATTTCAGGCTTTTGTTGTACAACTCAACTAAAATCACAGCCCTACGATTGTATCCCTCTGCCAACCCATGCAGTTCCTGATAGATTAACAATAACATGAGGTCACCAGGACTTTTGACCTTTGACCAATGAAATGTGATCAGTTATAAGGAGTCCAAGTGACAACTGATCAAAGTTTACGGAAATTCCTTAAAGGCAGATTTGAGATATGTGCAAGGGGCAGAAAAAACATGTTCTGTGAGGCCACAGTGACCTTGACCTTTGATCTCACACCTAATCAGTTCATCCTTGAGTCCAATTGAACGTTTGTTCCAAATTTGAAGAAATCCCCTTCTGGTGTTTTTGAGACATCGTGTTCACATGGGAGGAATGGATAACCTGAACAGTCACATATTCGTTGGCGTGGAGGCAAAAACAAAGTACAATCTGAAGAGTGTATATTCTATATTCTAAAAAATGTGGCGATTTTGTTTGCCCATGTGGGATATGGCCATACGTTTAAATATATTATTATTGTATATAGAAATCATAGAAGAATGTGGTTGTTATTGCAGAACAAATACTGCCCTGGTGTCGCAAAAGAAAAAAAAAAAAAGAGCATTAAACCATTCTGCTATAATTGATATTGATAAATTGATATAAATTACATTTTAGATTTAAAAAACATTTGATTACGTAACTACTTACTCATCTTGTTCTATCTCGTTGATTCAGAAAACCAGATCGGGTTTTCTTTCTCAACTGTGTGTCTTTCTGTGAAGAAATATTAAAGCTGTGTAGTCACGTGTCTACAGACTTTGGGGAAGTGCGGTGACCGCTCCCCTGGTTGCTTTTGTCTATTTAAAATCTTTACACCGACGATGTCCCGTAAAGGCGGGGCTGTCGCTTTTCGCGTCGCATGTCTCCGCCCGGTGTGCCTCGCGTTACAAAACAAGCGTCCCCTCGCCGTCTGACAATGACCCGCCCCTGCGAACCAGAAGCAGCAGATCCGGTGACGGACCGAGAACCAGGCAGGAGCTGCTGCTGCCCCGGGAAGTCAGCGGGCCGCCGGAGTCAGTCTACGCACGGCAACGCCATTTCACCTCTGGCTGCGGGAGCGTCACACTGAAGCTACAGGTATGTGACAAGCAGCTGCTTCCTCCGACATTTTGTTTGTTTCCTTCTCAAATAGAAATAGCGGCGGCTCGTCCCGGTCTGAGCGAGGCTTTGTATCCAGGCCTGGGAACGGCCCTCAGGACTCACGCGGAAGAAGAGAGCCGCGGAGCGGGTCAGAGATTTTAGGAGACGGGGAGGCTGGGTCACCGGCGAGAAGAGGCCCGTGTGGGGCAGCTGTCCACGCCTCCACGCGGCTCTCGAACCCGGAGGGGGGTGGACACAAACCTGGGCGTCCCTGTTAACATTTATATCGTTTATATCACTTTTTCAATGGCTGGAGACTTTCTCTGTGCTAATAATTGAACTGGCCGGCTCACGTTATTTGGCTAGCATTGCTGTTAGCTAGCTCATTCATAGCGCCGACATGTAGCTCGTCTGAACTTGAGTGTCCACAAACCTTCTCCTGTGCGGATCCAACTATCGTTTGAACCACTTTCACACACGGCCACGTTGAGACCCCAACGTTGAGCATTCAGTGCCGGGCCATGTTGGTGAAGTGAGCCCCCCCCCGTCGACATGTAGGTCTCATCTTTCGCTTTTTCATGCTTCTTTTCATCATAACGTGTGACTTGGGAGCTAGCTGGGAAGCTAACCGAGCTATGAAGATTAGATCTTCTTCCCAGTGATTACAGGCTGTATCTACAGGCAGTCTTTTCTCAGAGGAAGAACAGCTGCCATTACGTGTCAGTAGTCTCTGTAAATCTGTACGAGGCCGAGGATCTGACACGACCTAGCATGCAGGGACATTTAGTTCTCAACCTGAGTGATAGGAACATTAAGTTAGTACATAGAGGAGGATCTCCCTCCCTCTCTCTCTTGGCATGCTGTCAGCTCTGACTTGTTGGAATTGTCCATTTCCTTGATGTTTGTTTTAGATAAACTCTATCTAATCTATGGCGTCTTACTTAAATCAGTATCTCAGCTCCAAATGTCCTTGTTAATGCCTCATTAGAAAGATCAGAGCATTTCAGAGTTACACCTTGTAGTTAATGTTTTCCTCTAAAACCAGATGATGTCCTAATGTAGCTTGTCTGTTCACTTTATTACCTGGATACTGATAAAGGCGTTGTGTCAGATTATAAACTTTATAGTTCAACTATTTCATTTCCCAGTCGTCTTGCTTATCACTACAAACTAGATTACTTGTAGTTGCCTGTAATCCCTGAAACTATTTGGATTAAAGCTGCCAACAATATACAGTAAAAGTTGTTTCATAATTGATTTGGCACAAGAATCAATACAAGGTGATAGAGTAATTACCATTGTAGTTCTTATTTGTCTTTATTTTTGTGCCAGGAAATAATCAATCGCCCAGGTGCTTGTCTGTAACAAACTAGTTTTGGTGACCCTTACACTTTCTTAAGTTATTTACTTAGTCATAAACATCATTATCCTATTGACATGAAAGTTTATGTCGTGACCTAGTTTCCCCAAGTACTGTCTGTGCTGCTTTTTGGGTCCTGGTAATCATCAGGAGTTCCCTCTGTGTCCACGCCTGCCAAATCAGGAGGCCGGGCCAGCCAAGTGGCAGATTCCGGGGAGCCAACAGCCCGAGAGTGCTTTGTCTTCTGGGCTCATTCTGATGCTGGGACAAGGCTCGGGCTGCACAAGGAAACTCACACACCTTCCACTCTGAGCTCTGAAAGAAAGCAAGCAGGCTTCACATTTTTTACAGTTACTTACTACTTACTCCACCCATACTTTATATGCCAAGAGGCAATGTTGCTTTAGGAGTTATTTCACAGCTCCATTTGGTCTGAGATGGAAGTTTCCTAAACATATAGTAACTGTTACATAAGAAAATTATTTCCTGGTTTGGAAGCCAAGAAAAGTAACCCTTAACCAATTCAGTACATACCGTTCTATAGCTGCTCTTTGTCATTGGTCCTGTTTCCTTATGTTTGCAAAGTGGTCTGGCTGGATCATGTGCAGGTATTAGACCATACAGGAAACTAAAAGGCTTTTTTTGGTTATTACATGCTGTCCAGTAGCATTAGTGTCTGGTTTATCTACTAACATGAGGCTGTATCATAGGACTGACACAACTTCTAATGAGGTCACAGATTAGAAGACACTATACAGCAGACAAGCAGATAATAAAAAAATAAAGTCTTAATTTATTCACATCCTCCTGAAACCCAAAGCTAGATCTGTGCTCACAATTAACATAATTATTATCATAATGTTGAGAAATACAAACAAACACCAAGCATTGACTGTAAAAAAAAAAATCATAATGAACCAGTTAAAATTGATGTGCGAGTCAAGGCTCTTCTGAAAATGTTATATAACAAAAACCATTGAGAGAAAGGTTTCATAAATGTTATGTAATTCAGACCTTGTAGTTTATGCTTAGAGGAAAAGCTAGAACTGGAACACTAACATTATAACCTGCCAAGTAAGTTTTTGATATTTAAAGGAAGATGTATTGATAAAGAGGTTTTGAAGGTGGGAATGAAAAGAGTCAACATCAAACTATAGCCTTAGCCTTTCAGTCCTCAGGAAACCCTGCAGTAGAAAGTTATTCTTAAATGTATTATCATGGGTAATCTCCGTAATCCAAATTACTAATGAGGTCTGCTCGACGACAGTGAATCCCACGCCACTGGCACGTTTCTTGGGTATAGGACAGGATTGTGCCGCACGTCATCAGGTCACTCACAGTTGCTGCCATTCTGTGTTGTTGACAACACAATGCTGCTGTGTTACCTAGAGCTTAATTTGCCTCCTTTTTCAAACCAGTGGTTTTTGTTTGTAATAAGTGTATGTATGTGCGAAAGACACAAGTTACCCGGTGCATTGTTTTTGATTGTGAAAAAACTACAAGAACTGCGTCAGTGCTTGTAATCCAAACTTGGCATCTAGGGTGTGACCATGTTGATTAAAAAAGGGTTCAATTCAAAATGAGCATAATCCAACAGCTGCCATAGAAATCATATTTTTTGGGGCGGGGAAGTTTAGGGAAGTCATGATGACCAGGTTAAACCCTTTGAAAAACAAATGCACACAGAAAATAATGAATGATGAACACAGACAAATCTAAGAATACACAAACAATACATTCTTTAAATAGCTGTTAAAGCTCAATTAAATAGAGTACCGTACAGTCACATTTCACTTTTGGGACTCCCCAGTGTGAAATATTGCAAATTGCTGACATTTTCACTGGTTCTGAGCAACACTGCACAATCAGAAATCACTTCTTCTTCCCAGCCCTAAAACCAGTGCTTGCCAGTGACCATACAGTGCGAGTGCTGTATTGAAGAGAACAAGTTGTGATTTTAAGCAAAGGAAAATTGTAGATTTATCTGCATGATGCTACTTTTAATGATTTGGTATCGGATGAGTATATACATTTGCAAACTCACCAATGCCTAACAAGGCATTTTCTGCAGTATCAGAGGGATTTCTGATCAGTATCTACAAATAAGTCCAGTTCATGTTAAGCCATTTTGTAGGATGTTTTTTTACTAGAAAATGGCAAATCATCAGAAACTGCTAATTCTTACAGTTGGTTGGTTTTATAGTGACTTTGTGTGAGCTATTAGACACATTGTGTGTTATATTATTTTATCTTTATCTGCACTGATACAATCCTAGTTCATTCTTACTTCGACTGTTTATGCCTGGAGGAGACAACACATCGTTTCTAAGAATATCTTTGGCAGATGCTACACTGATGAAATCTCAGGACCTCTTGACTCTGTAAACTTTGCTTACGCTGGAAGAGGAACCTCTTCTCCCTTGGCT